CAATCCTGGACCCCATCAAGACTCCACTCTTTCTAATATGTTACACCCAGACTGCATTAGTTTTATTTTTTGGGGCTTTTTCCTTTTATTTTCACCTGGTTATCTGGCAAGTAAGTCTGTCTTTTTTAACTTCTTTTAACAGACCAAGATTAGTGATGGGTGGAACACCCCCCTGTTCGATTAAAATTCAAACTTTAGAACATGGAAAAAGTTCAAACTCGAACTTAATGCAAGTCTATGGAGCTAGAATTTTGAAAACCAATGACCCCATTTTGAATGCTTATATGCAAGTTATTGGCAATAAAAATAGTATGGGGATTCAAGTACTGCCCTGGGGGACATGAATCAATCAAAAAAACACTTTGAAAAAATACAGTTTTTAAAGTAGCAGTGATTTTAATATTCCTAAAGGGTAACAATAACAATGAAAAATTCCTTTAAATATCGTGCCTGGGGGTCCCCTTAAACTGCCTGTAAAGTGGCACATCTGTACAATGTATAGAACCTGCTGCAGCAAAAATTACATTAAAAAAAATAATAACATAAAAGAAAAAAAAGTGTGCGGTTCACCCGCTCAAACAATACCAAACCCTTCAGGTCTGGTAAGAATGTTAGGAAGGACCCCATTTAAAAAAAAGAAAACAAAAAGAGTGGGGTTCCCCCAAAAGTGATACCAGACCCTTAAAGGAGAACTATGAGGTGAGTACTTTTCACTCACCTCATAGTTCTAGCCGACCTGTGACAATGAGACTGTCACAGGTCGGCTCAATAGATCGGGAGGTGAGGGACCACACGGCTCTCTGCCGTGACAGGAGAGGGGCTGGATTCCCCCCTCCCCGCTCCGATCCGCCAGCGCTGACTGGCGGAACGGACGGGGGAGGGGGCGGGTACAGCTGGCTCTGCCCCTAGATAGGCAGAACCAGCTGTCAGTCACGCAGCTGGGCGGATCCCGGCTATAGCTCGCGGTATACTGAGCCTAGGGTGACGGGAGGATGCTAGTTTGTGTCCCCGTTACCCTAAGGAGAACTATGGGGAAAAGCCTTAACCCCATAGTTCTCCTGTAAGGTCTGGTAGGAATTTTAGGAGGGACCCTATGTATACTGGGAGGGTGCTTTTCCAGGGTCGCCCCTATAAAAAAAAATGAAAAATAAATAGAAATAATTTTAAAAATGACCACCGTCCCGTCCGCCAGCGATGAACTCCGGCCGCAGAATGGCATTTTGACAGATGCCGGCAACATATAAACAATTGGGCAGAGCTAGTGGTGACAGCTAGCTCCACCCAACTGTTTACAGTTATACGGCTTCTGACAGGTGAGCAATGATTGGGCAAAGTCATCATGGCTTTAGCCAATCAGGACTCACAAGGCACTGTACAGGGCACAGTGTCCTGTGGGGCACTCGGCAGGCAAACAGCCCGCTGAACACCCTGACAGTTTGTGTGTTTGCCGAACACATGAACTGCTGATGTTCGAGGTGAATTCATGCTCGACTCGAACATCGAGCCCATCCCTAACCAAGATGTCCAAGCAAAAGTGGCAGAGGATTTAGACAAATCATTTCACACTGACAAGGGTACTTACAATGGTCAGATTTTAAATGTTTATGCAAAACCTTTATCCAAAGGGGGCGAAAAAACGTAGCTGCTTAAAAACTGTTGGCTGGGCTTGAGCTTTAATTTCTTAGTTAAGACCATCTCAATCTGCTAATACATCTAACACTTTCCTCTTCGTAGGTTGACAATGATGCTGTCTGAGGGTGGCTCCATTGCTCCTCCATTGAGGGGAGCCACCCTAAGACAGGATATGTGTTACTGGCCAGATCACCCAGTAAAAATAATAAAAAAAAGTCTTAAAAAATAAAATGAATACAGCCACCACAATTAAGGATTGGTAAGCTGCAATATATAACATTTTTGTTTTTGGGTTTAGATACAGTTTAATCAATCTTTATGACAAAGTCTGTTCTGGGTAAAAAGGAGTGGTGTCTTGCCAGGGTGCCGGTTTTCCACTTTGAAAAATAAATCAACTTGCACTTGGGATGTTTTGGAGTGTGGCCACTTTCTTTTTGTCCTTCACCATATATGTTGAGAGCCAGAATAGGCTCCTTGGCAGCAGTGCAGCATCTGGTGGGGAGGGGAAACCAGTAGGCCTTCAGTAGCGGTGTCAATTTTCTCTTCTAATAGTCTACGTTTTAAGTGTCTCACTCTCTTTGATTTTGCATAAATTTTACTTTACACAAGCAATAACTAATGCAGCGTATTTCAAAATGTAAGGAATGTAAGTACTAACCCAAAAACAAAACACACACA